GACTTGGGCCATATTCAAATTCAATTCAGTAAAATATGATTGAATATCAACTAAGTGCTGAAGGTATGTAGTGAGCAGAACCCTACTCTTGTGGCGCAGTCTATCAGAGGACACAGACATTCATCAAATAATCACAGAAATAAATGTTAAATTGCCTTTCTGGCAAGATGTAAGAAAAACAACAATGTGATGCTATGAAAGCCCATAATAGAAGAATTTCACCTAATATGGGGAGGGAGGGTGGGCAAAGAATGGGTCAAGGAAGGGCTGTCTGAGGAAGTGAAGTTAAACTGAGACCTGAAAGATAAGTGGGAACTCAGATGGCAAAGAAGGGAGAGAAGTGTTCCAGGCAGAGGAAACAGCATGACACTATGAGCAAGGCTGGGAGAAAGCAAAACAAGGCAGCAGCACAAGGGGACTGGGACATGGCTACAGTCCCCATATACTAGAACTGGAAATTAAAATTCTTACCTGTTACATATACATTTGTTGAAGTGGTTATCTCTGGCTGATGGGACAGTGGGAATATTTTATTTTTTCTTTGTATTTTCTATATTCTGAAAACTTCTATGTTGAGCATATATTATTTTTTTAACCAAGGAGAGAGGAAATCAATAAGTTAGAAAAAATTAAGAAATATAAGGCAAGTCTGAAAAAGATCAAAAAATGTTATTACACAAATATAAAGATACGTAAACCGAGTCTCCACAACTAAGATAGACCACGTGAGAGTATTTTAACCAAGACTTCAAAAAAGAAGAAAACTAAGTTGTAAAAAGTTAATAACCAAGCAGACTGAATATAATTACCTCCAAATTAAACTATAAAATGGGTAAACATATTGTTTTCTAGCCTGAAAAAGTATTCCACTACTTTGATATGTTTCATATAACTGCTACTTTAATGTTCTACCCACCAATTTTGTCTTGTTTTTCAACTGTTTGGCAAGGCAAGTAAGAGCAAAGAAAGAGAACTACTTCTTGCAGAAATTGAACTTCAATAGATGTTTATGATTGATAGGAAAATGATAGCAATTGGAATGAACTTCAGTAGTTTTCAAGTGTGTGCATTAGGTTCAATTAAAAAGATTTCCAGAAGAGGAGCTTGCATTCAGTTGTTCAGTAACACTGATTGCACGCCTTTCTGGTAGACACTGGGACCACCAAAAAAAAAAAGGTGGGGGAAGGAGCATGAATTAGAAGGTCAGACTGTGGGGCTGGCCAGTTGCTCAATAGGTTAGAGCATGGTGGTGATAACACCAAGGTCAAGGTCAAGGGTTTGGATCCCCGCACCAGCCACTTGCCCCCCCTAAAACAGTCATAAAGGTCATACTGTGGTAGAAAGATAACAGCAAGTATACTTTTGAGTAAGAAATTCTTCTATACCATACCATCAACCTAGAGCAGTGTTAGATATTGAATACAGAGGCCCAGGGTCCTCAGCAAGGAGCTGAGGGCAGTACCCCCACCCAGAAGCAAGCAAGAGAGCATGCCAAAAACACCACTTCCACATAGGTGGCTCACCACCATCACCGCCACAGCCACAACTGCTGGAAAAGCAGCTTGATGCCACAACAGCAGCCACAGCCACAAGCAGGTGGCCTGGCAGACACTCAACTGCATTGACACAAGGTGTGTCACTAGCAGAGACTAGAAAAAGAAGAGGACATCTTTCTCCTCAAAGCCCACTCCAGAGTAACAGAAGAAGCAACTGCTCTACCAGATGACCAGACATCAATGTAGAGATACTAGAGATATAAAAACCCAAGAAAATATGACACCACCAAAAGAATATAGTAATTCTCAAATCCCAGACCCTATAGAGCAGGAAACCCTTGAATGACTGAAAAGGATTTCCGAGCAACAATCATAAGGAAACTCAGTGAGATACAAGAAGACTCAGACAACATAATGAAACAAGAAAAACATCCAGGATATGAAGGAGGAAATTTACAAAGAGATTAATACCATAAAATAGAATGTAGCCGAACTCATGGAACTGAAAGACTCACTCAACAAAATAAAAAACACAACTGATAGCTTCAGCAGCAGGCTAGAACAAGCAGATGAAAGAATTTCTGATCTTGAAGATAATTTTTCAAAATAACCCAGGTATACAAAAAAAAAAAAAAAAAAAGGAAAAAAGAATTTTCAAAAATGAAGAAAATGTAACAGCTAGCAGACAACCTTAAGTGCACAAGCATTCGAATCATGGGTGTTCCAGAAGGGGAGGAGAAAGGAAAAGGCATGGAAAACCTATTCAATGAAATAATAATGGAAAACTTCCCAGGTATAGGGAGAGATACAACCTTCAGATCCAGGAGGCTCAAAGATCCCCAAACAGATTCAACTCCATAAGATCCTCTCAAAGACACAGTATAGTCAAACTGGCAAAGCTAAAAGACAAAGAGAGAAATCTAAAGGAAGCAAGAGAAAAGCGTCAAGTCCTATAAAGGAGCTCCTATCACACTAACAGCAGACTTCTCAAAAGAAACTCTGCAGGTCAGAAGAAAATGGTAAGATATATTCAAAATACTAAAAGAAAAAAACTGCCAGCCAAGAATACATTACCCAGCAAGGCTATCTTTCAGAAACAAGGGAAAAAGACTTCATTTTCCAGACAAACTAAAGCTGTAGGAGCTCACCACCATGTGAAGACCAGCCCTACAAGAAATCCTCAAGGAAGTCCTGTATCTGGAATCTGAAAAACAATAATTACTACCATGAATACACAAGAAAGAACAAAATCCACTGCAAACAATAAATTTCTGCAAACGAAAAAGAGAAACTAATCTCACCACCACAAAAAGCCATAGTGACAATGTAATAATGACCCTACCTTATTTCTGGTTTTAGTAATTTTGGTCTTCTCTCTTTTTTCTTGCTCAATCTATATTAAGGTTTGCAAATTTTGTTGATCTTTTAAAGAATCAACTTTTGGTTTTGTTGATTTTCTCTGTTGTTTTTTAATTTCCTATTTCATATATTTCTATTGTAATCTTTGTTATTTCCTACTTATGTATTTGCTTTTGGTTTAGTTAGCTCTACTTTTTGTATTTTTCTTTTTTTTTTTTAAAGATGACTGGTAAGGGGATCTTAACCCTTGACTTGGTGTTGTCAGCACCACGCTCTCCCAAGTGAGCTAACCGGCCATCCCTACATAGGGATCCGAACCTGTGGCCTTGGTGTTATTGTTATCAGCACCACACTCTCTCAAGTGAGCCATCGGCCAGACCTACTTTTGTATTTTCTTAAGGTAGAAGTTTACTGATTTGAGATTTTTCCTAATTTTAATATAGGTGTTTACAAATATGAATTTTCCTCTAAGCACTGCATGAGCTATACATTTTGATATGTTGCACTTTGATTTTTATGTCAAAGTACTGTCTTATTTCCCTGTGATTTTTCCTTTTACTTATTATTTATTTAGGAGAATGTTTTTAATTTCCACACATTTGTGAGTTTTCTAAATTTCCTTCTGTTATTGTGGTCAGAGAACATATTTTCTATGATCTTAGTCTTCTTCTTCTTTTTTTCCTTTTTGTCTTTTTTACTGACCGGTAATGGGATCACAACCCTCGGTGTCGCGCCCGTACCAGGGACTGGCAACGGGATCGCAACCCTCGGTATTGCGCCCGCACCGTGCTCAGCCAGTGAGCGGGAACCGATCTCCACATGGGATCCGAACCCTTGACGGGAGCGCTGCTCTCAAGCGGCGCACTCTCCAGTGCACCACCGGGCCGGCCTGATCTTAGTCTTCTTTTAAAAAAAAGGAAAAAATCCTTAAACAAACAAAAAAGTTCATGAAAAGATTTCCATTATCTTTCAATTCTATTTTTCTATGAACTTTTTGGAAGTGCCCTTGTATATATATATATATATATATATATTGTTTTATTGATATTTTATGCAATTTATGTTGCTAAACTTAGATATTTAATTTCTGTTTTTGACTTATTTTTACTAAGAAGATTTTTTAAATTTGCTTAGAAATTAATTTGCCTTTAAAAAGTTTATTCATGTTCTGTTGAAATTAATTTGATATTTGCATGCTTTTGGAAGACTTTCGAGAGGTATTTCAAATAATTGAAGGGATTATAAAATGAAATATGTAAATTTTAATAAGTTTTACATCTCTAGTTTTTGTGAAAATTTGAAGCCCTACTTTCTACAGAGTATTTTGTTATTCATCTGTTATTCAGTTTATGTATTTGTTATTTGAACAAATAAATGTGCATATACTTGTTAAAAAAAAGATATATTAAAAATGTATGAAAGTAAAAAAAAGATCTTCAAGACAAAAAGGTAAGGAAAAGCTCTGGGAGAAGGCTGTAATAATCACAACAGTAAACAATTACTATGAACCAGGTGCTATTGTCAACACTTTATCAACTCACTAAAACCTTGTTAGGTATTACGATCTTGTACAAGTAGCTACTGTCGTTATCACCATATTGCAGACGAGGAAAGAGAGGCACAGAGAATTGACAAAACGTCCCCAAGTACACATAATGTGAATGACCTAGGATAAGAATCCAAGCACTCTGGTTCTGCTACTCCAAATACCACCCGTGCGAGGTCACTCTTGAAAGAAGAGAAAGTACTCCTCTCATAGTAGTGACTGGTTCTATCACCACGGTCCCTTGCATTTTTCTCGTTCTTTTAGGTGCACCCGTCTTGGGACATATCATTTCTCCCACATTTCCCTGTTTAACCTCGCCTCTAGCGTAGGCAAGGCACTAAGGCCGTTCATAGCCCCAGAGTAGCAGTGATTTACTTCCTAGAAAGGGAAGGGACCTGCAGAAGCCATTAACGACGTGCGGCTGACCCGGGAAGAGGCCACAGGCTAAACTATCGTCTACCAATTGGGTGTCCGCCGGGGTCACCTCAAATAGCCCCAAACCTGGAGAGGACAGCCACTATTCGGAATTCGGGGAAGAACGACTTCCGGCCGCACCGGAAGCCCGACGGGAACCATTTAGGGGACGGACTGACTGAGCGACAGTTCTCCCCGGTCCGGAAGGTGATTTCGGTCGGGACTCAGAATCCAGACGCTTGGGGCCCATGTAGGAACCCGGTGAGTGGGGTCCCTGAGCCAGGTTCGTCCGGGTGGCGTGCATTGTTCGGCATAAAGTGTCAGTGGCACAAATCACACGAATTCATAAACGTTGCGCATTCGGAAGCCTTTCGGAGATGCATTTAATTAATTTCCGCGTACTCCAACGTTAGGCATTCAGGAAAGCACGTGCACTGTTCTCCCAGAAGCGGCCGGGGGCATTTCTCTCCTGGCGCGCCGCGGCGGGTGCGGTCCCCAGCCTCCCCTGTACCCAAGTCGTTCTCAGATCCGTGATTTTGCTACAGTGCCTTCTTTTTACCTTTCAGATAAGTTCCAAAGCTTCCAACTCTTACACTCAGACGTTTCCGCTATGGAAACACAACTATGTATTTCCAGTATCCTTTTTTTCAGATTCCTTGACAAGACTTCGCTGGGAGTCAGAAAGCCAGGATTCTAGTGCCGACTGCCATTTAGCAGCGGTATGACATTGGAAACGTCTTTTTGATCCTTCCCATTTTGACATTTGGGTTATTGCCTGCGATGTGTCTTTCTAATTCCTACCATAATTACGTAATCTGTGTTTTTGGTTAATCTGCTGAAGGGCCTTCTCCCACTCCATTATTCTGTGTCCTTGTCAAATCTGATTTCAGACCCATGTAAAAATAATTTCCTAAGGAATCCTGTGCTTCTTGAGCACTCTACTTCTTAGTCCAAGGGCATTTACATAAATAAGATTTTTTACATGTTCCGTTTTTGAAGTGTGTAAATACTTGATTACTGTTGAATAAACTCAAACTTATTGTGTTTATTTCTTTGGAATTAAGTCAGATTTTCTTCTTGCTCTTTACTTGAATAAGTCTTTTAAGGTAAAAAGCTTGCTACGTTAAACACACACACACACACACACACACACACCCCTCAGAATTATCCACAAGTAAACAAGATATATGAGAATTTATGAATATTTTAAATTTATAAGCAATGAATCTTCAAAGCATATAAGCCATTACTAAAAAACACGTGATACAATTTTAAAATAGCTGATGAAAAAATATGCATTATCCCATTTTCTCCTCATAGCCTTGTAGTAGGAAGGACAGACATTCAAAAACTATTACTTTCTTTTTACAGAAACCAAGTAAATGAGGACTACAGGTAACAGGTGACTTGCGCAATCACCATAAGACTTGCTGGTGTATGTCCAGAGTGGGTATCCACCCAACGTTCTTTTGTTGCCTTTCTAGTCAGGTACTTTCTTTGCTAAACTGTGCCTGTTTCAGTTGTCATTTCTTTATAAAATATTCACTTTTGCTGTATTTACTGTGTCAGGACCATGTTTGGGAAGATTGGTTGAAATGTAACGTTTCATTTTTAATTTAATGTTCAGCTATCTAACAAAGCTTACCTGTCTAGAGCCTCAATTAATCTGGTCATATCAAATAGCTACTACCGTTTCTGAACAATCTTAAAGAATATCCAGCAGAAAATATAAATATATAAACATGTTGTGGAAATGCCATATTATGAGAGAAACAGTTAAAAAAAATTTAAAGACAATGTAAAAGTTCAAGATAGCATTATATGGTTATGGTAAACACACTGAAGTGTTCCATAATTTTTATTCTTTTATTGTGATGTTGAAGAATAATGTTTAATGATGTAAAACAATATTCACAATATGGTCATTAGTGGAAAAAGTTATAAAATGAAATATAATATGACTTCATTTTTGTAAGTAAAATAGATAAGCACAAAGAAAAAGCCTGAAAAGATACACGTTAAAATGTTAACTGAGATTATTTGTGAGTAGTGAGTAAAAGAAAGTCTATATTAAAGAGTCTAAAAGGCCATATATTCTACTTGGAAATTTACTCGCTGTTTAAAAAACACACCTTAAAATGACTTCACAATTTACAGAAAGAATTGTGCATATAATTGCAGTGAAAATGCTACCCTAGGTTGTACTCATTCATCTGGTGTGCCTGAGAATCACTATATTGGAAAGCTTTAAAAACAGTGAACTCTTTGTGGAAAGAACTCTGGCTTATTATATTTTGCATCAACAACATCAGGCACAATACCTGGCATGTGGTACTTAGGAAATGTTTCCTAAGGAGAAAACATGTACTTCTTGCATTATTTTAGTTGCTCCTTCCTTAAAAACTGAAAAGCAAAGCTATAGAAATGCAGTCTTGACAGCAGAGGAAATAGAGGACTCTGGGAGGAAAAGAACTATATTACTGATGAGTTCTGTTATAGTTTTCTCTCAATCAACTCTTCTTCCAAGAATAATATTCAAAAGGCATTATTCAATAAATAAATGGGTGCCTTCTTCCTACTACAAAGCATCTTTTTTGAGGGGTAGGAAGTGGAGAGGGAAAAGTGCTGAGTTGAAAGACAATTCCAGCTGGAGGAAGCATATGCCAGGATTCAGAGATTATAGGTGAGTCAGAATAACAAAAGCTTGGGAAGTAAGAGTGAGAAGATTGTAAGAGTGTAAGAAAGAAAGTGAGAGGTCAGCAGAGGGCAGATAATGAGTCCTTATATAGCATGTTATGAAGTTTTACATTAAATTGGGGATAATGAGGAGCCATTGCAGGATATTTCGCAGAGAGTGATAAGTTCAAATTGGCAGTTTAGAAGAATCACTCTAGTTGTGATTAGAATAGTTGATGTTTCAAGAGTGAAAAAGCCTTTTATAAAGCTGTTTGTTATCATATTTCAGTTCTACCTTAATAGTGACAGTAATAGTAGTAATAGCTATTATCTAGAGAGTACTTGGTGTAGAATTCCATTTTTCTTACTAAACTGTGAGCTCTTTCAGAGCAGAAACCCAGTCTTACTCATTGTAATAACTCCAGTACCTAGAACAGTGCTTTGCATGTAGTAGATTTCTGATTAATATTTGTTAACTTGATTTGAATATTAACCAAAATATTATTTTAAAATCATTTTTTCTAGGAGAAACATGAACCAGAAACTACTGAAGTTGGATAACTTGCTGCAGTTTCACACTATTTGTAGGCAGCTACACAGCCTGGGTCAAAGAAGAATGTTAGCACAGTGGAGTCATGGGTTTTCATCTGCTTACCTGATGTGGACACCTCAGCTGAAAGCCCGGCCCTGGCAAACAGACATACTCCTTGGGGCTGCTTTATCTCAGTATAGGCTTCTAGTAACAAAGAAGGTAGTTACAGATTACTGTCTGTTATTGTATTATTTGGACTGAGATGAAAGTGCCTAGAACCATGAGTAGAATCCATTTTGAGTGTTTTGTTATTTACAGAATCTTTATTTACTTATGCTGTACTCCAGGCAATAGATCTTTGTAAGGAAGGGAAGTTCTGGTTAGTTATTTGGTAATGCTGATGAATTTGATTACTTGGAAATCAGTGTATAACAGGGAATTAAGTATGCAGGATTTTTTAGTTTAGTATAAGATTTAACTATTTATGGGAGTGTTTGTTGGTAGAAATAGTGCTGTGATTATGGTAGGTATTCCAGAAAAAAATTAAATTGTCTTTTAAATTTTTTTCTTCCTGCTTTATATGCTCTGACTTTTTAATAGGAAGAAAGACCACAAAAATCTCATTTACCTTCAACAAAATCTAAAAAGGAGGTACAAGTATGGATTGGAATGACTGTTGAGGAGCTGGCTAGAGCAATGAAAAAAGACATAGGTAAGCCAGACAGATAATTTTACAAGGAAAAATTTGGGAATGTGGAAGACGTGGAATTGTATTTGCAATGAGATTAAGGCATTCAAGGATGAAAACTATACTGACACTTTAAAAAGAGGTTATTCCAATATTTTTCACTTTAGGTCACAAATCCTATTTAGTTTCTTGAATCTTTGCCAAATGTAGTTCTCTAAGATTTTGCTTTTAATAAAAGTGGAAAAGATTTTCTTATCTGAATTAATTTTTCTTTATTGGAAATTTTGTGGGCTATTAGAATAAATTCAAAGAATGTTTTTGGACTGATGGACTATTCTTACAGTCATTTACTTTCCCTTTGTTTTTCTGTAATTTTCTAATTTCCTTTTTTCACTCATTTTGACAATATCTGGAAGGCCAACAGAGAGATATAATAATAACTACAACTTTTAAGAATACCATTTTTATTTATAAGTGGAGTGCCCATCATTGTTGTTTTTTTAATTCCTTCATTGTGCCATTGATATATTACCAATTTTGGTTTGTTGGAACAAAATTTGGCTTTTTCTCATAAACTGATATTAAAATTCATTATACAAGAAATAGCTTATTATTGTAGTAAAACAAAGTGATGAGTAAGCATACTTGTGGAAAAAACAAAAAACAATACTAACTCACATTTGTTGAGGTGTTAATGTGTAAGAATAATATACGCATTAACTCTTGTAATTCTCACAATGCCCTAGAGGTAAGTATCCCTATTTACAGGTTGAGAAAGTGAGGCTTAGAGGGATAAATAATTGCCCATGATTTCACACGTGGTTTGTGGCAGAGCCAGGATTTGAACCTGGGTGGTATAGCTTCTGAGCATATGCTCCTATTCAAAGACCAAATTATCTCCCAAGAATTATTTTGTAAATTACAGTAGAGCTAAAACTTTGTTTCCTGCCTGAAAGTGTTACCACTCCTTGTACGTATACAGTCTCACAGAGTAGAATATCAGCACACTGTCTTGCATTTTTATAACTTTACAATTGGATTATGTATAACTAGAAAACTTCAAGAGAATAAATGGATATGCCTACATCACTCAGAATTTTTCTAAGGAAAACTGTATTGATATGATTAATATTGATAATAGACCTGATTTTTAAAACTTTTTATTACTGGCAATTTTCAAACGTATGAGAGCAGAAAGAATGGAATAATAAGCTTAGGTGTGTATATAAGTCATTGACAACAATTATTAATATATTATTTTATGTATAAATACTTCAGTATGTGTCTGTAAAAGATGAGGATTTATTTATTTTTTTACATTACCACACACACACAGAGGAATCCATAACCATAATTCCTTTGTATCACCAAATAAATGGAATTAACTAAAATATGAATTTAGTTACATGGAGCAGTGCTGTAAACCCCAAACTGATTTGCTATGATTTAAATAAAAGTTATGTTTGAAGATTATTTAATATTATATTCAAATCCCTTCAGAATTAAAGATAGTTTTCATGAGGTAATTATTTTTAACTACTGTATATAAGCAGTATGTGTACATTTTATTTTCTCCTCCCTTGGGTCACTTAAAATAGCTTGATGTAATATTTCTAGGTGAAGTGCTTTGGCGCACTTTTTTCTTAATTTTTAAAATTTAAAATTTTTTTCTCCATCTTCATGAAGCTTTGGGCACTTTTCTGCATATAAATATTTAGTTAAATCTCGGATAAAGATATAATAGTATGTCAATACCATATGCATTTAATATAGAGGGGAAAAAGATTATTCCTGTGTATAAGCTACCTCCCAAAAGTTCAGGATAACATATCGGAAAACTGTAGTAACTGGATTATTAGGGATTTTTAGCATTATTAGAAACAGCATTGTACTCATTATAATTTTTATGTTTTGAAAGAATTTTATAGTTCTCTGAGAGTGTATCTATATAGAAAATTTTAGTTGTATCATTCTTAAAATCTGTTTTCTTGGAAAAGGATGTGGCAGGGAAATAAAAGAAAAGGGAAGTGACTTCTTGTCATTTTTATGAAGTAGGTTCAGTGGTGTGCTGGGGTTGGCTTGCACCAGTTTGCTGGTGCAATTGCTAAGTTATAAGGAATCATGTGAGCTGGTTGTTAAACACAGCCATTTAAAGAATTGAATCATAAACAAAGGTAGTAAAAACTCATCAAAACTTTTCACTTCCTAATTATTTTATTGCATTTTACTGTTATCTATGTTCTTGAGGTTATTTATGCCTATCATATCTGTATGGAGAACATACTATATAATAGTGTGTTACTGCACATCTCTTCCCATCTCTGCATGCAGTGATTTACGTTGGTAGCTTGAAATCAACCATGGTGGGAGTATTTGTACCATGGAAATTGGGAGATGCTATAAATCAAGGATTTTTTTTTCGACAGCTTAATTAAACACTTACCAGCACACCACTAAATAGGACATTGTTTTAATGTAATGTTCTGCTTACCTGAGGATGCTTTTATTTCATATCTTCTCTCTAAATATATACTTATAGGGTGACTAAAAGTCTGGAAACATAAAACTACTTATTTCATTATCATCATAGATACATTTATTTATTATCCATGGGGAAACATGACTGAGATTTTTAAAAAGCACATTAAATAAGATGAAAAACATTTAATAATATTTCAAGACTTTTTGGACACCCTATGTAGACACAAATACAAATTAGTAAATTGTGGATTTGGGTATTCGGAGATCCATACTGTGTATATGTATGTGTGTGTGTGTATAAGTCGATTCTCATTATTTGTGGATTCTGTATTTGCAAGTTTACATATTCCCTAATATGTATTTGTAGCTCAAAAATCAATACTCAGGACGATTTTACAGTTATTCTTGTGTATGCGCAGAGTGGTGAAAAATGTGTGTTGCCTGATACACATTGCTGACTGAACAAGGTAAC